TCAAACAACTTTGTTAGAAGAGCGTCTAAATGTTCTATGACTAAAAGAGCTAAACATTCCGGAAAAACGGATGTTATTTTCCAACCTGTGTTGACACGCAGTTCTCTGATCAAAGCGATTGAAACTAGCTGTGACCAGCTGTGGCAGCTAATTTCTACTGTATATCCTCCGGAGCATCGTGACACTTTCAAACCTGGATCCCGTTTAGTGGTCTTAATACTGGGCTGTCCTCAATCGTATAGGAGTTTCCATGGCTGTTAGCAACAACAAAAACCATTCAGCGTTTGCAAACTTAAGTAGTAAAGTTGAAGTTATCCTCAAATATAGGCTATTGTTCTGCAGAGTCCAAAAATTCATCTGCCGTCACTGCATTTAAGATATAAACTCTACTGACAGAGATAACTTCTAGGGAAATATAATACATCAGATTATCAACTGGTGGATTATTGTAAGCAGAATACTATATGGATGGATGGAACTACCGACAAAAGTCTTCAAAATTCTTACTTTTCACATTGAATTTGTCAAATATTGTGCTTTATTGTAAGCGAATTCCTGATTAACAGCATGCCACCTATACTGTGTATCTGAATTTGTTCTTGATGCGCTGCGCGGAAGTTTTATACCCCCGATTTCCGTCCATGAGTTCCATAAGTGGGCATGTTCAGATCAGCTTTTCTCATGGGAAATTAGAGTTTGCAGGGGGGTACTGGAGTAATGTTTGTGTGGACGGAAGGAAAACGGAGAATAGGAGGCAGATCACTATGTGCGCATCAATCGGTTGTGTGCTCCTTATACCGCTATAAGCAGCCGTACACAAAAAATAATGTGACAGTGGACAAATGCGCCATCATTCGAAATATCTGTACATTGTATATGGTCGCTCGTGTTCCGTATTGACTTATTGGGTCGAATTGGTGACAAAGCTTATCTGTTCGGAATGGAGCATGAAAAGACCTAACAGACTGAAAAGTGTCCCATTAAAATTGGAAGAAGGCTTTAAAAGCTTGTAAAATCTGTGTGTCCAGAAAGTTTCGTCATTAAAACATTCTGAGCTAGGATAAGAAACAAACGGGCCGTAACTGCAAACTTCGTTTCACAAAAAAACTGGGATTCGAAACTCAGCTGTCATAAATTCGAATTATGCTCGCCAATTCTTTAGACATACTGCAGGTGACGGAATGGGCTACACACAGCCAAAGTCAGAATCCGAGACTTCTTTGAATATGCACCACTCTGATACTCTAAGACAAATACAGACACCGTACTCGTTGCGGTATGTATACAGTGATCAGCTAAACCACCAGCACTGACGTCAACACTAACAACCATATTGATATCATTGTGACCGTGTATACTACTCGTGATATAGGCTAGTAGTGTCTGGTCCAGGGCTGAAGTGACATCCCTGCTACAGATGGAAGGTAAATATGGAAGTTATTGGTAATCAAGCAGTGCAAAAGAGATTTTAGATGAAGGCTTGAGAATGTCGGTGTTAAAATTGTATGTGCAACTGTGGTTTTGTTCTCTTGTCTGAGAGCTTGTAACCGCACAATGCTCGTCGATCAGTTAACAAGTCAGTATACGAAGGCACTGTTTCTTCCACTGGCAGCTTTCACTTTTGAATACCATATTCTCATTCCTTTGAGGCGAGCGGTGTTTGCGAAAGCAAAGAAAAAACAATAAAGGGAAGGAGAGCCTCGAAATGTTGTGACGTAATTAGTTCCGTCAAACTTGTGGAACGTTTCTGAGGTAAAATTATAGTGTTAAACGTAGTAGCCAAGACAAATGTAATTTTTACGAATTAGAATAAATATATATCACGTTTAATTCTTATTTAGAAGCAGCAAGGCCTGACAAAGTCAAAACCTATGTGCAACTGTGGTTTTGTTCTCTTGTCTGAGAGCTTGTAACCGCACAATGCTCGTCGATCAGTTAACAAGTCAGTATACGAAGGCACTGTTTCTTCCACTGGCAGCTTTCACTTTTGAATACCATATTCTCATTCCTTTGAGGCGAGCGGTGTTTGCGAAAGCAAAGAAAAAACAATAAAGGGAAGGAGAGCCTCGAAATGTTGTGACGTAATTAGTTCCGTCAAACTTGTGGAACGTTTCTGAGGTAAAATTATAGTGTTAAACGTAGTAGCCAAGACAAATGTAATTTTTACGAATTAGAATAAATATATATCACGTTTAATTCTTATTTAGAAGCAGCAAGGCCTGACAAAGTCAAAACCCTACATGAGCCGCAAACTATCTGTCCTGCGGAGTAATGTGTGAAAGACATTTGCCAGAAATAATACTGAGCACAATGTGCCTTGCTTGAATGTAGTGTACATACATTCAGAACCAAACCGGGGACTATGAGTGATTCACTGACTGTAACGTTAAAACCCCCAGTCTAAAAAACGGTCTTAATGGATTCAGGAACCCATGTTGGTTTATACTCAAGAGTTCGCGAACCAAAGAATTCGAACCCAATATATGGCTAAGGCATTAGCAACAAAATATCCGTTAACGTGAAGCGTTCGCTGCTTCGCTTTCCATATACGCACTTAAAGTTCGGTGAAGGCTGGAATCACGTCTGGCACCGTTGGTTAGTGATGTTAAATAGTGGGCAGTTCAGAATTGAAAAAGCATGTCATTTCGGTGCTCTCAACTATACGAAGATAGTGTAATACAGAGGTTCGTAGTGTTTCGCATGTTCCCGTGCAAATAGTGTGTGACGAACACTACGAGCACCACGCATCCAACAGCACTGTTGGTTACATACCGAAAACTCCGGCCGAACATTTTTCACGGTAGAAAATCCTCTGGCCGCCATAACCAGGATATGCAAGTTGCATCGGACACATATACCAAGGCAACAGTCTCCGACTCGAAAGAGGACAATATACCAAACGTTGCAACCACGACAATTAAACGTTTGTTCACTCAGTTGCCCCCAACCGCAGTGGTTGCGCGGTGAAGTTGTGGCGGTAGTACACGGACAGCAACTTTTTCATACGCCTTTTTGTGCTGCATCAGGATGGTCCCCAAGACCGCCATTTGGCTCGGTGACGTAGGTATAGCGCAGCAATGCCTCCCACCAAAGACACAGACAGTCACCAAGAGGTGATCCGATGAAGTTACCAACCATTGCGTACGTTGTGGTGGGTTTCGTAAGCCCTTAGAAAATGCGTCAGCTTTAGGTAGTCGCACGCGACTTTTATTCGTTAATATGGAATTAACAGAGCACGCCATGTCGCTTTTGTACCTCCGCGCACCCAGGATATTCCCACACACCTGGAAAACTGTGTCCCGACGCAAACGTCAGTTAGCCCATCGGACCCAGGTCAACCTAAAGTGGATTCGCCGAGACAACTACGCCGCTATCCAGATCCTATACCACGAAAGACGGAAAGATGCAGCCTCTGCTGTGCTCCATGGGTCATGGAAGGATCTATACAAAGGTAACTGCGGCCTACCTATGGACGCCGAACAGTATTGGAAACAAGTGCTCTCAGCTCCAAAATACGCGGATAGTTGACCAAGTCGCATAGTAGTACCATCCGACTGGAGCTTGATCGAGCCAATTACAGGAGAGGAAGTCGGTCATACGATCCGTACAATGGGAGATTCGTCCTCAGGCCTAGACAAGCTGACGCCCAGGATGCTCCGCCGGTTCAATGCTAACATGCTCGCTGGATATTTCAACCAACTGTTATTATCCGGGGATTGTCCCATACATCTGTGTCGATCCCGTATTATCCTAGTTCCGAAGGTCCCAAATCCGACTACCTTCGCTGACGACTGGGTCGTGTTCGCAGAAAGTCAGGCATGCCTTAAAGAGAAGCTTGAAGCTGCTGCGGTCGAGGTGGGAAGAGCTGGCATGAAAATAAACGTCCGAAAGACTAAAGTGATGGTTATTTGTGGGGACAGGAAACATCGGGTAACAGCGGTCTCAGTCGAACCATTTCGCTTCGCCGAGAAATTCATCACTCCTCTGGGTCCAACAGATACCGTAACATAATTTGGCATTCCCTTTACTTCCAAGGGGAAAGAGGTCTTCAACCACCAACAGCACCTGCTCAAACTGCTCGAAGAAGTGACGCGTGCCCCGCTGAGTTGCATCAAAGAATGGAGATCACGAGGAACTACCTGACACCAAGGCTGACATACTCGTTCGTGCTTGGCCAAGTTCACCGAAAGACGCTTAAGATATTGGACAACTACATCAGGCAGTATAATCGTGGCTGACCACGTCTACCGAAAGACACCCCGATCAGCTATATCCATACCGGTAAACAACACAGGGGATTTAGTATCCCATTTCTGAGTGCAACAGTCCCGATGCAACAGAGAGCACGTATCGAAAAGATCATTTGTACCAAGTGCTGAGTACTGCGCAATGTGGTCAACGATTCCGCGTTTGGCAAGATTGTTCGAGATCTCAACCTTTCAATCCCATCCAATGGTGCATGCGTAAACACCAAGGAGGAGCTGGTGGCTGCTTGGGATGATAGTCTGCACAACAGCGTCGACGGTCGCGGTTTACGAGAGTTGGTCACTTCGCCTCTCTCGAATCGATGTCTCGTATTCCCAGAACGAATGTTTCCTCGGATATTTATCCGCGGTATCCAGCTCCGATGCAACCTGCTTAGGACGAGAGTTAGAAGCGCTCGGCATGGTCATGGTGGCCAGACGATCTTATGTCGTGGGAACTGTGGCCAACCGGAGGGTTCAGTGCACATTTTGCAATCCTGCTGGATCACGCATGACGCCAGATGTGCTCGTCATAATCGGGTTGCAAGAGAACTCGCAAAATATCTCCGTCCACTGGGATATACTGTCTTCGAAGTGTTGAGAGCACCTACTTCGACGTACTTTATCAAACCTGACCTAATTGCTGTTCGAGATCACCGAGCAACTGTAACAGACGTTATTGTAATCTCGAATGTGCGCGAAGTGACTGTGTGGAATAAGAAGAAGCAGAAGTATGGTGCTGGTGAATATTCCTTCACCATAATCTCAGCCCTGCGTGCAATCGGTTTTGATGTCGACTTCTTCGTCTACCAGTCGATGATTATCTCATATCGGGTGATGTGCTTTCCTCAATCCACCAAGGCTGTTATTGGACTTCCTTAGGTCACAGTCAGTGATTTGTGTTTGCTTGCCATTGTGGGCTCTCTGCGTACTTATGAAACATTTATGGCTGGCACATGGCGTAGAAGGTACGTTTTTGCCATTTAATCTCACACAAGACCCAGTATGACGGATACATTTTGCCTAATGTGCGAGACTTGATTGTGCTAGCTCTTACCGAGCCTTGAAGAGCATTCAACATTGTTTGTCCTTTCTTCGGTTGTTGGCCTTCAGACGCGTTTCCATGTCAAACGTTTTGCATACTTTGGAATTCATCTTATCAGACTGGAACTGTTGTTGGCATGAACTCGAATGAGACGTTTCTCTGTTTTTCCCATATTCTCCTGTTACTCTTTCGCATTCGTCGCTTGCGTTCACTTTTTATGTTTGTGACCATGCTCTTTAAAAACAAATGACAATAAGAAAGGTAGCAGCTCAAAGAGCTCTAGAAAAAAGAAAAGTTCACAACAGGATCAAAATACTAGGTCCTTAGTTTTCTCCATATTCCGCTCCATATTTGTTATTCATTCTGGAAGCCAACTGAACTAACGCGCCTCCAACGCTCTGAAAACCACCACCCCGGTGGAAGACAGTCGGATAATACGGAATTTCGAAAATATACTTAGAAGTTAGACGGAAATGGTTCTTTAGTATGCCACTTTCAAGCTGAACTAATTGATGCCGTTCGAGAACTGTCATTCCGGATAGGCATATGACCAGTACATATTCTCTGTTTTCGCGCGCCGAGTAATAAATAACAGTGTTGAAAGAAGTATCGTGCTATTCTCACTTTGAGCAAAAGCATTTGAGCTTATTAGTTCTGCCAGTATCAGGTGAGTCAAATATTTGATAACCATCCAAGTTCCACATGAACCATGCAACACGTGAAGTTGACTAACTGTAGTCTTGGTTCCATTCTTGTGTTGGTTGTACTGCTGCTAGCGGAGGTGCCATAAATTTCTTCTGGTGCGTTTTTTTAGAAACCGACACCGAATACCACTGTAAACTGACAATTGTGAGCGTTCAGTCATCCAGCCGGTCACATGACGTTTTATGAAAAGAACGAATATTCTCAAGCAGAAATGAGAATGACAGCCAGAATAATCCGGAACCGTTTCTGCTAAACGGATAAATATTCATGTCTAGAATGGTTTCAGCACCCTGGACTCAATCAAACTCACTTGGGATTCCAACACGATGATTCTATGTTAACTCGGTTGGACAAAATATTGAGAACTTCTCTAAAAAAATTGAGTAACAAAATGTTTACGTTGGCAGCTTGTGAGATGCACGAAATTAGTTCAGTGAGGGGACGAATAGAGTGCACCGTTGGCAGAATGATAGGTAATGCTTCGGATCGAACAAAAAACCACTAAGGTTAAGAACCATTGAGCGTGCAGAACACACTAATTGTCACAAGTAAACAATAAGTCTGGTATTTCAAGCGAATTTTAAAAAAAAACTAGTCAGGACACTAAAACGCGATCTTCTGTCATTGAGATGGAATTTTAGAGCGGCAAGCGAAATATGCTATTGATATTCTTCAATTATATAGCAAAGATAAGATAGTCTTGGAACCTTGAAACTCAAAACTTGCAGTGATTCAAGTAGTCTTCTTGGCTTTTCAAAATGTCGAATGCTCATAACAAATCTCCGTTCCCCTAAATTTTTGTAAGAAATACCCCGAGTGATTCGGCTTTATTTAGTTTAAGTTTATTGTGACTTTCGAGGAGGCCCAGAATGATGCGGCAGTTTTCCACGATTTTCCGTGCTGTACGCCTTCAGGTCCATCATCACATTTCATGCCCGTCACTCGTTCCAAGTTTTTCTGCATAGTTTATTCCATGCTATCTTCGGCACTATATTGAATGGTAGTCTGACGTGCCGTATTCGACACTGTCAAGTGATGAAATTAACTCTTCCCTCAATCTTCCACCGGATATTTATCCAACAGCTTAACCAGCTGACGATTCATAGCTGTTTTTGTGGCCTTAAACCATAAAACACTCGGTGAAGCAATGCAACATCCGATTGTTTGATCTGATTGTCCCAGCGTCGACAGTCGTTTTAAACTTAGATGAGCTACCCTCAATATAAGCTGAGTATTCACTGACCGTGTCACTTTAATGCCAGCTAATAACTTTAGTCCGTTTAGTGTCATATCTGGAACCTTTATGATGAATGTGCAACGGAACTATGAAGGCAAAGTCTCCAGTCATGGATAGAAAGTGTCAAAGGAAAAGAAATAAGAACAGGGGAGTGTGTTCCGGGTTCCTGGACTGATAATGGGTAAATGCCCTCTATCCGATACTCCCTTATCACAGTGGCCTCACACTTCGCTCCTCTGCAAATGTGAGATACAGTGTATGACATACATTTCTATGCTTCGCTCCAGAATTCCATATAGCATCTCCTTGGATGCTTCACTCCATGCTACATCTAAAAGACCACTTCTCCACTGTTTGCTGTTCTGCTCTTTTGGACCATTACATGCACCTAAGCGACGTTTACGGCGAGATCTCGGAGGGGACCAACAGAGCCCAAATTATATCAAATGGTGTTCAATATTCTTAACAAACTCATCACCAGCCTGTAACGCCAAGTACGATACACATGAAGTCCATAAACGGTCTATCAAATCTTTAGATAAACCATTTCTGGGCCCTTTTGTAACTCCCGCGCTTGACTGAACGTTCACACTCGTGCGATTTCTTAACCGAAATGAAACACTGGAATTTGTTCATTCTTGAACGATGAGGTTAACCATATGCGCCGTGGCACCGTGGGTAGAAAGCTATTTGTAGGTTTCCGGTAACGTAGGTTGTATCATCTACGAAGTTTTGTAAAGTGGCAGGTAACCAAGATCCTTAGCCACCATTCGCATGCCTTTTGAAACTTGATTACCTCTTATAGCTAGAGTACATACTCGTCAGCGATAATTAGAATTTCAAAAAGTTGCGTAAATGAGACTATCAGGCTTCTAATTCTACAGCATTTTTATTTAAGTCGTGATTTTTTTCAAAAGTTGTGAAGTGACACTTACATTGTTCCTTACAAAACCTGTATGAAATAAAATTGTAAACCTCTGTCTCGGCATCAGCTCAGGCTACCTGACCTCTTGAGACAACATATTACGCAGTGCCTGTATTTGTCGCATGTTTAACAGTGAACAGAGCACCTGGTTGTGGGGCCGGGACAGGCAGTGGGATATTTATAAGGTGTACTAGACAGAAAACAGAAAAGTTGGCGGCCAACGATATCCTTATTTGATATGATTTGATCCTAACGATTGCTATGTGAAACATTACCGTTCCTTGTACCACAATCAAACACATCACAGATGACCCTATTTAGCCAGTTTGGTGACATATACAGCACAGTACACTTGGCAGTGGTAAAATCTGAAGCAAATCTGGGGTTAAGGTGGCAAAATCGCTTACCGCACAAATCGACATATTGCTGTATTCAATATTATCAGACAATAGTCGACATAAACTCCGAAGTAAATAGTCTCGCCACTGACTGACTGCGGTTTCTCAAAAGAGAGGAAAAGTTCCCCACTACACCTTGTTTAGTTCAGTTCTTGCATCTTCAGATAGTGTATGTATGCAACGAAGTCAGGTGGGCCGAAACGAACCGTGTATCACAGATGTTAATCACTAATTGATGACTAGAGAACATCACGAATAAGTATGTTTTGGTCCGTATATGTTGTCCTTTTGGGATGAGAAAACACCGTCAAACTTAGAAAACGGTGTCGTCGACATGATTCATGTTGGAGGGGTTGGTTGATTGGCACTACTTAACACAGTTCAGGAAGTCTTGGTTTACGAATGAGGGCGTATTGTGTTTTCTGAAAGTACGGTGGAGTGGGTATTTGCAGAAACACGCTGAAGACTGTTACATAGGGAACCTGTCTAATGGTCGGCATCTGCTGTCATTCACAAACAATAACAAACGAGCACTTTTTGTGTTACGTAACCGGAATGATACGGTAGAATTTTACGATAAGGATGCATTTGAATATGGTAAAAAGCAGTGACAGCGGAAGATGCCAAAGCAGCTCTAAAGCATGAAATATTCTTTCAAGACGGAAGATAGAGGAAATTGACCTCACATGGGTTATTTGCAAATGCAGCCGGGTTCACATTAGAAATAGGCAATCATCGCCTAATAACTAGATGGCAAAGTTTTGTTTGCCCTACTCTAAATTCTCAGGTTGCTCGAAGTCACTCAGATCGTTCAAACACGTTTGCTCCAAATCAGTAAATGAATCGCCCTGAAGCACCTTTGGCTATTTATGCAGACATCCCCGCCACTCTTTTTCAGTTCATTGAGTGAAAGAACATTCAAGCTTTGTCCTCAACAATGTGACCTGACTTCAGCAGTGTTTTCTTGCCTGCGTTCGAGAAATTGAACTGCTTTTTTGTCCGCCGATTTCAGCTTTCTGATAAGTGGTCAGTAACAGGATGGGGAACAGATCAAACCAGATCGCCCGACACGGTCATCCATGGCATGTATCCACTCCAGAATAAATAGCAGATAGAACTTGTCTTGCACCTTCACAGTATCACTCTCTAACCAAATTTGTGGAAGTCGATTCAGATTGGAACCTTGGTTTGTAGTAACTTGAAATTCAACTTCGATATTACTGTAAGAGTAGCTCTTACGCAAACGCATACCATGCAAACACGTCTTGACAGAACTATGAAATTTCTCAATTAGAGGCCCTGTTTTTTAAGCCAGTTAGATGTATTTCAAAAGCTAACCCTAAAGGCTGTGAAGCTACGATTTCTTGAAAGGTTTACGTTTTCACTCCTTTGGGGAAATCTGTCATCACTGCGAGAAATCAATAAAAACGAGACTTATCAGATTTTTTAGCCAGTTGGCTGGAATCAATTACGTAGAAATGCATTAGTCGAACTCTCATTAAGGTGCATCCAATGTTTTAGACA